TGTTGGTACTACAATACTTTCATACATTCCCTTCTTTGCCTCCATAGATAACGTTTTTTGACTCCACATATACCTCAACGCACCTCGCCTTTTTTCCCTCATCAATTCTATGATTAACCTCATCCTTCATAAATCCATCCGCCGACACGTCAACTCCCAAGTATCTGAAAACATTCACTTCTTCCATACTCCTCCTCCCCAATTTGATATCCAATTTTTCTTTATCTAAATCATTTGATACCCTCATCACCTTACTCTTTTCTATGTTCACTTTTAACTTTCTATCTTTACACACATTCCCAAACTCATCCACTAACCTTTGCAATTTTTCTTTAGAATCTCCCATAAGCACAGTATCATCAGCAATAAGTAACTGTGTCAATTCCCATTTTGAATTTGATTCCCCAAAATTTAATCTCACCCCTCTCCCGAACACCCTAGCATTTACTTCTTTTACAACCCCATCTATAAATATATTAAACAACTATGGTGACATTACACATCCCTGTCTAAGACCTACTTTTACTGGGAAGTAGTCTCCCTCTCTTCTACACACGCTAACCTGAGCCTCACTATCCTCATAAAAACTCTTTACAGCATTTAATAACTTACCACCTATTCCATATACAGTGGACCCCCGGTTAACGAACTTTTTTCATTCCAGTAGTATGTTCAGGTGCCAGTACTGACCGAATTTTTTCCCATAAGGAATATTGTGAAGTAGATTAGTCCATTTCAGACCCCCAAACATACACGTACAAACGCACTTACATAAATACACTTACATAATTGGTCGCATTTGGAGGTGATCGTTAAGCGGGGGTCCACTGTACTTGCAACATCTGCCACATTGCTCCTCTATCCACTCAATCATATGCCTTTTCTAAATCCATAAATGCAATAAAAACTTCCCTACCTTTATCTAAATACTGTTCACATATATGCTTCAATGTAAACACTTGATCTACACATCCCCTACCCACTCTGAAACCTCCTTGCTCATCCGCAATCCTACATTCTGTCTTGCCTCTAATTCTTTCAATTATAACCCTACCGTACACTTTTCCTGGTATACTCAGTAAACTTATTCCTCTATAATTTTTACAGTCTCTTTTGTCCCCTTTCCCTTTATATAAAGGGACTATACATGCTCTCCGCCAATCCCTAGGTACCTTCCCCTCTTTCATACATTTATAAAACAAAAGTACCAACCACTCCAACACTATATGCCCCCCTGCTTTTAACATTTCTGTCATGATCCCATCAGTTCCAGCTGCTTTACCCCCTTTCATTCTACGTAATGCCTCACGTACCTCCCCCACACTTACATTCTGTTCTTCTTCACTCCTAAAAGATGGTATACCTCCCTGACCAGTGCATGAAATTACTGCCTCTCTTTCTTCCTTAACATTTGAAAGTTCCTCAAAATATTCTCGCCATCTACCTAATACCTCCATCTCCCCATCTACTAACTCCCCTACTCTGTTTTTAACTCCATCTCCACATCTACTAACTCCCCTACTCTGTTTTTAACTGACAAATCCATACTTTCCCTAGGCTTTCTTAACTTGTTTAACTCACTCCAAAAATTTTTTTTTTTTTATCACACTGGCCGATTCCCACCAAGGCACGGTGGCCCGAAAAAGAAAAACTTTCACCATTATTCACTCCATCACTGTCTTGCCAGAAGGGTGCTTTACACTACAGTTTTTAAACTGCAACATTAACACCCCTCCTTTTTCTTATTTTCATTAAAATTTCTTGACAGTGCCTCTCCCACTCTATCATCTGCTCTCCTTTTGCACTCTCTCACCACTCTCTTTACCTTTCTTTTACTCTCCATATATTCTGCTCTTCTTATAACACTTCTGCTTTGTAAAAACCTCTCATAAGCTACCTTTTTCTCTTTTATCACACCCCTTACTTCATCATTCCACCAATCACTCCTCTTTCCCCCTGCCCCCACCCTCCTATAACCACAAACTTCTGCCCCACATTCTAATACTGCATTTTTAGAACTATTCCAACCCTCTTCAACCCCCCCACTACTCATCTTTGCACTAGCCCACCTTTCTGCCAATAGTCGCTTGTATCTCACCCGAACTTCCTCCTCCCTTAGTTTATACACTTTCACTTCCCTCTTACTTGTTGTTGCCACCTTCCTCTTTTCCCATCTACCTCTTACTCTAACTGTAGCTACAAGTAAATAATGATCCGATATATCGGTTGACCCTCTATAAACATGTACATCTTTGAGCCTACCCATCAACCTTTTATCCACCAATACATAATCTAATAAACTACGTATATATACGTTTTAATTTTCCTGCCTCCAAATTTGACAGGATTGGCCGAGATGCCTGGTCAGCATAGAATGGGTCTTAACACTCGGTGTGCGCAGTATTAAAAAAATCTGGGACCGCTTAGTACCTTGTGGGAGCGCCAGTTAACCCGTAAACTGGTCCAAACGTATATATACGTTTTTTCAACATTGGAAAGTATGTAAAAAAAGTAGATCTTCTTTTTGTTTTTTTTACATTTGAAAATGTGTAAAAAAAACTTTGATCTACTTTTTTTTTGTTATATTTGAAAATATGTAAAAAAAACATAGATCTACTTTTGTAGCACTACACAAGTGAACGTAGACCTGCTTGGACCGTTTACGAGTTAAATTGAGCCCCAGTTAGAACAAACAGTGTGGCAAACACCAAGGATTCACTGATGTAATGTCATATTAACACTCCTCTTTTAAGAGGAAAGTGATGTTTACCCCAAGTTTAGGGTTTGTCAACCTCTGTCTATCTGTCTCTGACTCTGTCTCTGTCAGTGTGTGTGTCTCTATCTGTCTCTGTCTCACAGGTACACATAAATACAAGTATACATAGTATATATTACCTAGGATAACCCAAAAAATGCAGACAAAGTGGTATACTCTGCTTGAAGATGTGAGTAAATGTGATGACGCAGTCTTGTGGCTCTCTCTGAGAGAGAGCTAGACGGATAGACAAATAGACAGGGAGCTAGACAGACAGATACGTTTGTGTACCAGCGAAAACAAAGGGAGGGCGATGCTCATCAAATGTCACCTCTAATCTTTTCTTATCAGCTGCACCCTTCCCCACCCTCTTGTATGCTCATCAAAAGTCAGCTCTTATCAGATGTTATCTCATCTTAACATGTCACTGTCAGGGGTGGACTTTGTTTTTCATGCTTCAAGGGGAACTTATTATTACCTAATATTATTATTACGTATTCTTCTTCTCCTTCTCCTCCTCCCCCTCCTCCTCCTCCTCATTATTATTATATACTTCCACATATCCAAAACATTGCTGAGATCTATAAATACTTTGTATATATTCCAAGACAATAGTAAATGACCAAGGCAGGTGTAAATGTCCACCTGTCAATGTGTTTCTGACAATTTGAGTACAATTTCAGTACCTAATACTAGTGTCAGAACACTAGTATTAGGTTGGTTATGAAATGACAAGAACTACTATAAATTGTAATTATCAGAACATAAAAATTATATAAAATAATATGAAAAATAGAAAAAAAGGTATACTATTGGCAACACTTCTGCAAGTGGCAGGACTCCATGTTGCCGTCACATGAGCATCCAGTGCCAACTTCTCGGCCTCATATCTCTGTAAGTACTGACCCTAATTTTTTTTTTCTAAAAACACTTAAAAAAATGTGCTCTTTTTTTCTATATTTTTTTTTTTTTTCCAAAATATTCGGGGCACTGCGCCAGTGAATATATATATATACGTTTGGACCATTTAAGGGTTAAATTGGCCAAATTATCAATTTCCGATTACTTTATTTTGATTTGGGGAATTCTTGTGCTCAATCGATAGAATAGAAGTAATACTAGTGAAATAGCTAAGAATTTGGTCGACTGGAATAATGTAATTGGCCTAAAATGGGAGTCAAAGTCCGCAAAACCGCTGATGCATAAATATCGCTGACACATCAAAATTCGCGAGAGCATAATTTCGTCAATTTTCCATCAAATTTTGTACTTTTTGTTTTATTACCTTCAGAAAAAGATTCTCTACCATTTCATAAGAAAAAATAACAAAATTATTTTTTTTAAATTCTTGGACACTGGTGTACCCTTTGAAATTTGGCCTCTGGACCCTGAAAGGGTTAAAAGGACTCTATACTACCTCGATTAACATTTTAGCATTATTGTTGCAGAGAATTTCAGCAAACAGTATACAGAGATGCTACATTTTTTATTTCAAATTTTAATAAAATTTTCTTCTACTTAATACAGACGATCAGTCCAACACTTTTTTTTATGGGTATGATCCTTAGTGAAGATACTGCCTTCAGTCATGGCTACTTCTGTCAATAAATGATTGATTGAAACTGCCCAAAATTTGCTGTGTTAATGTATGGGCATTCCCAGCATGTACAGGAAGTAAAGTTGTCCATCTAATTTATTATACTGTAGGGATTTGTACAAGAATCTTTGAATTCATCCAGCTCAATAAATCTTGTTTAAATTTCTGGCCAAGTCTTCAAGAGTCCCTGGCACATATGACTAACTGCCTCCCCTCTCCACCATTCTCTCCTATTCATCTGCTGTGTCCCATCTTTCTCATTTTTAGTAAAATTTGTCCCATTCAATGTCCCCTTCTGACCTGCTCTGCTTAAATTATCCTAAAGACAGAACAAAAAGACCAGCAATCATGATATTGCAAAACATTTGGCAGGCTTCTGTTTCAAACTTACATGAAAGCACTGTAATATCTCTTTAGATGCTGGTTGTCTACAAACCTACTACTTATCACAATACTGCAATCATTTTGGTTGAGGCCATTTTATTGTTAAATTTATCCTCTGATCTAGGTGAGCTACCATCATACATTCATTCACTATAACCAAACTGGATTTCCTCTGCTGCATCCAAACAAGCACTTCACAGTAACAACAAATACACTGCTACACTAAGTGTACACAACAGATTTAGGGAAAGAAATAATATTCACCCATGATCTCTAAAGTGTACGCTTATATCGACTATTTCTCCAAACTTCTGGAAGCGACGGCGAAGATCTCCCTTGGAGGTGCCCTCGGATAAACGACCAATATAAACAACTCTCCTCTCTTCTACCTGTCTCGATCTATCTTCATCTTCCTGTGTGTGGAAAAAGAAGCTTTATTAGATTTAGTGGAAGATCCATCATTTGTTTATTCTTATATACACAGATTTAACCCTTCCAGGGTCCGTCCCGTAGATCTACGGCTTTACGTTCAGGGTCCAAACCATAGATCTACGCCATGAGCTCAGCTCACTCTGATAAGATATGAGTGGTAAATTTGGGCCTAGATATGAAAGAATACATCTATGTGGTATGTGTGCACCACATAAAACAAATCCTGCAGCACACAGTGCACGAGAAAAAAAACGAGACCGTGATTTTCGATTAAAACAGCGAATTTGCAATGTTTTTTCGTATGTTTTTTATAGTTGTATTTGAGATTTCTTGGTCTCATTTGATAGAATGAAAGATATATTACAGAAGTAGAGATGATCTTGATTGGTTTTAGTACTGGAAATGGCTTGAAACTGAGCTCAAAGTAGCGAAAATGTTAAATCTTTGTTGATGTTCAAGAGTAAACAAATGACCTCACACGTCTAATACACGCCAGCTGGTGGGTCTAATATACATTCACAAATGTGATGATGATATTTATACAATTATTACAATATTGCATAACAGTAAATGTTCTATTTTTTGGTTTGAATAAAAATTCATTATGTGAATAGAAAATCAAAATGGAATTCATTTGTAAAGCCTGAAAACATAACTAATGAGCAGAGGAAATGTTAGTTTAGTGCCAGGAATGCCTGCATTGTTTATTCTGGACCCTATTTTGATATTGGAATCTTTTAAAATTTGTGTGAAATTGGCAAAACTGCCAATTTCGACCACTTTATTGGTAGTTTAAAATCGGTAAATGAGTGGATTTTGTATCTTTCGATAAAAAAAAATGGAGTTCAGTGAAAAGGTATGATTTTTGCGTGGTACACGGGAAAATTTCGTCGAGATGCAACTTCGGAGCAAAAAACCCCCTTAAGTTTTCCACAAATTTCAAAAGAACATAAGAACATAAGGAAAGGAGGAACCAGCGGGGGCCCGTGGCCCTCTAGGCAGTCCTTAACTTTCCCACCCACTAAAAAACTTTCCCCAACCCCCAATTTTCAATGCCACCCAAGAAATAAGTTGATGTAAATTCCCACTAAACCCAAACCCCTCCCACTATGTATTTACCCAAACCTAGATTTGAAATACCAAAGTCCAGCCTAAATAACCCAACTAGGTAGTGTTCCTCATAAAACTACCTTTTTCCAAACCAATCTTTCCTATGTCCTTTCTAAACTAAATTTATCTAATTTAACCCATTACTGGGGGTTCCCTCTTTGGAAAAGACACCCTCAGACCTTTTTTAATACCCCCTTTATTAATACCTATCTTCCACTTATACACTTCGATCGGTCTCCCCTATTTTGTCTAAAAATGAATGTAACTTAAGAGTTTTCAATTTTCTTAAAAGGAAGATTTCAAATCTAGTATTAATTTAGTCATCCTACGCTGAATGTTTTCTAATGAATTTATGTCCATTTTGAAATACGGGACAGAACTGAGCGCATAATCTGGGTTTTGGGCCCCTTACTAATGATTTTTTAAAGCGCAGTATGGACCTCGGACTTTGTTGCTTACATTCTTAAATAAAATCCCGTAATCTATTTGCCTTATTACGTACGCTTGGGCATTGCTGTCTTGGTTTAAGGTTGCTCTCCCCTTTAAAACCCCCAAGTCCTTTTCGCAATCTGTATGGCTAAGTTCTACATCATTTAATTATAAGTACTAGGGTTAGGGCACCCCCAAGCTTAAAACCTTGCTTTTATTAATTAAACGATCTGCCACTTTTCTGCCCCAAGAATAGAGTTTTTTAACCTTTGATGTCGAAGGGCCCCAAACCCTAAAGTTGTTTTCGGGTTTGTCGAAAAAATATTCAAAAAAAAAAAAAAATTATTTTTTCTTATGAAATGATAGAGAATTTTTTCCCCGATTGTAAGCCCCAAAAAAAAACAAAATTTGATGGAAAACTGATGGAATTTGCTCTCGCGAATTTTAGCATTCGGCGATATTAAAAAAATCGGCAATTTCGCCCATTTGAGCCCTATTTTCGGCTAATTCTTTATTCCAGTCAACCAAACTCAAAAACATTTTTTAGAACTCTTTTTTTTTATCGTTTGAGTACAAGAAACTGCCCTTTTTCCGATTTCAACTCCCAATAACATGGTCAAAAATTTTGCAATTTGGGCCCAATTTCAAAAAAATTTAAAAAATACGACAATTTAAAAAATAAGGTCCAAAATGAAAAAATGCAGACATTCCTGGCTCTAAAATAACTTTTTCTTTGTTCATCAGTCATTCTCCAGGCCCCGTGATTTACTTTTTTTTTTTTATTTTAAAAATTTTATTCAAAAAAAAAATAGAAGATTTATGTTTGCAGACTACTGCAATCTGTAAAAATTGAAAAAAATTAATAAACCCTTTCTGACTGCGTTTAAATGGCTATTTGGAATTTATTGGACAATGAATCATTTGTTCATTTTGAACATGGGCCCAAAAAATCAAACTTTTCCCTGTACTTTGTGCCCCATTTCCAGGTTCTTTTTATAGTAAAATTAATAAATCCCCTCCATTTCTTTAATATAGTTTCCATTCTATCAAGAGCCCAAAAAACGAGAATACAACACAAATTACTATCAAAATAGCCCCAAAAGTCGGTTTTTTAATTAAAAAAAACGGTGGGGTTTTTTTTTTTTTCTATTATGCATGCGGCTCCAGGATTTTTTTTATGTGGTGCAACCTGACCACACGACCCATTCTCTCACAGTGGGCCTATGCTTTTCCCCGAAAGCGCCTAAATTTTTTATGGTTATATTCGTAAAACAGGTACCTCCAAAACGTAATTTTACCCGCGACAGTCAAAGGGTTAAATCCTCTGGTTCCCCCATAACATTACGTTTGAATCAATTACCCTCCCCTATCTTTTGTGTCTCGGCGAATTTGCTATCTCATAGAAATTTCCCCTCATCAAGTCATTGATAAGTATATTTAAACAAAAAACGGGCCCAAAGGGACTGCCCCTGTGGAACGCCATTGTTACAGACCCCACTCGGATTTAACCCCTTTATGGACACCTCTGCTTCCGTCAGTGAGCCTGATACGACCCACGAGAGCATTTTTCCCCCAATGCCATGAGCTCCCACTTTCTTTAACAGTTTCGGTGCGGAATTTCTATCAAAGCCTTACTAAAATCTAAGTAAATAATATCAAATTCTTTATTGTGGAACAGCCTCAAAAGTTTACTAAAGAAAGTAAAAAATTAGTTAGACAAGACCGGCCTCTTGTGAACCATGCTGAGTAATTAATAAAGCTATGTTTAAGGGATGGCTTCTTTAATCTCAGCTAAAATTGATCTAGAAATTTTGCCTACAATGAGGTCGGTTATTGGGCGGAATTTGACGGGGTAACGACTTGCCCCGTTTTAAAAAAATAGGAGTTACATTAGCCATCTTCCACTATAGACACTACCCCTGTTTGAGAGTAAATTAAAAAATTTTTTGGGTTAAGGTTCCATTTTTTTGCACCCTTAAGAACCCTTTTGAAAAAAACCTCTCAGGACCCGGCGCTTTTTTTTTTAGTTTTATCTGCTTCACAACCATCCATAGTGACTGTGATGTTACTAATTTATCTTCTTCTAGCCACTGTAAAAAAATTAATTACTGGAATATTGTTAGTGTCTCCTGATTTTTTTAAAAACTGAGAAAAAATAATTTTTAAAATCAAGCACATTTCTTTCTCTTTGCAGAAAGGGGCCCCCCCTAGTATTTTTAGGGGACCATCTTTTTCTCTCTTTTGTTTATAGACCGGGAAAAAAAACTTTTTGGGGTAGTTTTTGAATCCAGAAAATTTAATTTCATAGTCCCTTTTTTAGTTTTTACCCCCCTTTTAAATGTCCCCTTTAAATGTCAAAATACTGATTCAAAAGATGCCCTCACCTCTTTTGATAGCTATAAATTCCTTTCTTTGCCCTAGTGTTTTTTCAGCCTATTATTCATCCATTTTGGGCATTTCTATTTGATCTAATTTCTTTTATGGGATAAACGCTCTTTGGCAGCAGTTTGTGTTCAGAAAAATGTCATATTGTAGCCTTTGTTACCCCAGTCAAAGATAAGTGTTTCAAAGGGCCATCGAAATTGCTAAGCGAAAACTGGGATTTTATGAGTTTCGCTACTATCGACTTCCATTCAATGTAAATGTAATTGATTTGGGTCGTAGCCCCCAGTTCCTCTAAAAATTTCTAAATTATTAACGGGGATTCATTGTTTGCCATTTTAAATAAGTCAAGAGGGTTTTTCCCCTTTAGGTTTCTGTCACAAACTGTTCAAAAAACAATCCTGAAATACTTCTAAGAATCGTTTTTGATTCTAAATTCCCAGTCAAGAATTTTCCCTCAACATGACTAAAGTTAAATCTCTAATTACTACATTATCGTGCCTTGTGGCCTTAAAATTTCCTCCCATGTAGTTTCCCTTGGTCCCCCATCTAAGTTTGGGGGGACGGTTATCACTCCTAAACAGTTTTTCATGCCCCTCTGAAAAAATTTTTTCCCAAAAAGATCTGTATGTGTTCTTCAGACTTAATGTTTTTTTGGGAAATTTCAAGCGTCTCGGACATATAATGCCCCCCCACCCCCCCCCCAATGCTTCTATCTTTTGGAAAATTTAAAACCCCCGAATATGACATTCCGAGGATGTCCCGACTTTTTGAATTAAAATCGTCTAGTTAAAGGGAAATACATCAATGTTACCTACACTGCAACTAATCTCACTCGTCCTCTTATTCCCAGCACTACGGCAATTAGATAATAAAATTGAAAGACTCTCCTTTCTCTTTACCCTTCCTGCTCTTTCTTTTTTCTACTAAAATATTACTGTCTTTATCACCCAAGGTCCCTGGCTTTTAAAAATCTATCTCGTTCTTATTATTACAGTTCCCCTAGAAAATCGTATATTCACACTGGGACTTCACTGTTTTCCTCAAAACCCATACCAAA